GGAACTTGTGGCTGCTTGAGTTAGCTGAAGAATAACAGTAACAAAAGCCAGGTAGGTGTCTCTAAAAAGCAGGTAATTTGCTTTCTTAAAAAATTGTTTGCTCTTCCCATGTTTTAAATTGTTCATCTCTTGTCTTCTACATTCACTTTTAGTGTGTGCCAGTCTTTAAACGTTTAGCACTTAGAGAACGTCACATTTCTTTGACTAGTTTTAGCTTCATTTTAATCTTCCTTTAAAATAAATTGTTTCAGCTACCTGGTTTGCTCTTTATATTCCATTTAAATTTTCCTTCCATTGCTTTCACTTTAAAACATCTTTGTTCCCTTTTTCTACTTTAGCTTTACTCACAACTATATACTTGAAATTCTAGCTTCTGATTTTAACACCTAAAATATTTCTTTTATCCTATTTTCCCTAGTAATACTTTATAATTTCTGAACTTCTGGCTTTGTCTTTTAACCTGTTTGATACATTTATGCCTTTGATTTGATTTCTCTTACTTCAGCCTTAATATTTCTCCCCAACCTTTAGTTTTATTGTTGTATAAGTGTTTTTTCTTATTTATAATTTTAATTATTCGTTTCCTTGTATAATGTGCATGTATCAAGCTGACAAGCAGCAGAAGTGTGAAGCTCGGGCTCTTCATCACTGTTCTATTCAGCCTTCTTAATCTGTAGGCACTTTTGTAACGAACTGAACAAGGATATTTACAGTCTGCCTCTAAGATGCTTTTTTCCTCTTTTGATCCATCTCCATTCTTGGCAGGGTTACAAGAAACCTCATTGCCTGAATCTTTCCATTTCTTGTATTCATTGCAAGGAGGATAGAAAGCTGCCTAAAGCTAGAAGAATCCAGGGTTTTTAAAACAGAATCGACAGGACTCTTGGCGGGTGGCTTCCAGGTGTGTGACACCTGGGCCAGCTTCAGCGTGGACTGCCAGGAGGCAGCAATCCCTCCCTCTCAACCTCAGCGGGCCTCCCAGGGGAGGCTGCAGAACTCAGGGGAGGTGGTGAGAAGGGGCTCGTCCCTTGCCCTGGCCTCTGGCAGGGAAGAGGGCTTCCCCTTAACCCAGAGGCATAACCTGAACAATTTAAATGACTGCGGTCAAGAATCTTACCCTTTAATACCACCTTGTCTGAGAGGGCGTGTATCAATCAAAGTCGGTCAGAAGGCAGACATCACATACTAAGCCAGTCCATGTTGAATGGGGCCAGCCACTGCCAGGTCACGGGGTGTGTGGTAAATGTGACTGATTCCATGGACATTCGCTCACCGCTGTACTTCCTTGCTGTAACATGAGTGCCTCGATCAGACACAATGCTTTGCAGAATGCCATGATGGTAGGTACAGATTTCTGTGAGCTCACAGAGGGTGACGCTAGCAGAAGTTTAAAGAGCAGGGAATGCAAATCCATATCCAGAATATATCTACCTCAGTGTGGAGGACAAACTTCGGCCCACTCTGAGATAGTCCATGTAGCAGACCTGCACCCTGGGGAATGGAGGCCCCAGCCCAGTTAGTGGCTGAGAGTGAATGTAGGTCTCTGCTGTTGCTAAACGAGGCGCTCAGCAGTAGCAGTAGCCAGAGCAGGACTTGGTAAGGAGAAATCCAACCTGTCGCGCCCATACATAGTCTTCACCCACTGTTTCTCGTGGACCCACTGAGCAAGCACTGGGATGGCTGGCAGAAGAAGCTAGCTGACATCCACAGAGTATGGCGTTTTGCCCACCTGATTATTAAGAGCTTCCTTTGCAGAATGCTATGGCGAACATTTGCATGGGGCATGGATATTCTGCACAGTCTGTACCCATTCAGAGAGGATTCAGAATCTAAAATAAGAAAAAGAAAAATAGAAAAGAGCTGGTTAACGAGGTGATAATGAACGGTATTAAGTTCAGCGTGGGGTATGGGGTATGCCGAGTCTGAGATTTCTGTGGGCCTTTCCAGCACAAAGGGGCCCTTCTGGAATTCAAGAGAGAAATGAAGATATCGAAATTGGGCTGAATATGAGGTAGAGGTAATAGTGGAAACCACAGACGGGGGGGAGGGGGGGCAGTTTGAGGTTGGAGATTTGAGGACAGGACTGTGCAGACCATCAGGGGAGGAACACACGGAGAAGATGAGAGTCTAGGGAAGAAAGCCCGGGGTGGGGCGAGGCAGGGCCATGAAGGCAACAGTGGGAGGAACCAGCAATTGTTACATATTAAACATTAAGGAGGGAGAAGTACAATACAGGCAGGAAAAACTCCATAGGATTTGGCAGTTAGACCATTGATATCAGTACAAAAAATCATTGCAGGTGAGCAGTGGGAGCAGGTCGCTTCAGAAAAAGGTTTGCGAATGAATACAAGGCAGGGAAGCCAAGTCAGTGAAAGCTGCCCACTTATTCAAAATAAGACCAGGAAACGAAGTAAAAAGGAGCTCTATGTGGCATTTCTATATTAGCATTTAAAAGTGGACATAGGATTTTGAAAGTTTTTAAGACGAGAAAGCTTGAACATTTTATAGAATGAAAGGGAAAGCACTTCTATGCGAAGGGAGACTGCTGGACCAGAAGAGAGGTACCATCCCAGAACAAGGGATGGGATTCATAACTCAAACTCTGTGACCAAATGGGTGGGGGCAGTGATAACGGGGGTGGGGGGGTAAATTTATAGGATGTAGAGCAGCAAGTAGAGTTGGTCACCTTCCCCCAACTTAACTTTCAGATTACAAAGCATATTCCTCTGATGACAGTAAAGGCTGACTTGGAGGGACAGGCCTGAAGAAAATTTGTAATTTTGGATGTGCAATAGTGGGGAATGAGAGGGGAAGCAAGAGAGAAATCTAATCTGGTTGCTTAGTCAAAGTCCACTTTTTTCTTACAGCCTTCTCTGCCACTTCCCCTGACAGTAAGTACAATATTAATAATGTGTTTGTATAGCAATTAAAAATAGTTCCTTTTAAAACCCCTATTCTATCCCCTTACATGGCACTTGTCATTTTCTGCTAATTAGTTATTTTCATATGTGTCTTTTAAGAATTTGTAACACTTCCAAAAAGAATCCTCTCTCTTTTTATCCCTCATAGCATCTACTAGACTGGGTGCCATAGTAACACAGTATTTCAGTAACTACCCCTATACAACAAACCGGCCTAAACTTCGTGAGTAAAAACCCAACTTTTTTCAAATTATTATTTCTTACCATTCCAGGGATCCACGCGGTGGTTCTCGCACAGGGAGCTCTCCTGTGGCTGCAGCCTGGACACGCCTGGAGCCTCCCTCCCTCCATCTCTGGAGGTGGCTTGGACTGGTGCCTGGGCCCAGTAGGGCTGTGGGCCAGCACACATATGGGGCTTCTCCAGATGGCTGGGCTCCAAGAGCAAGTGTCCTGAGTGCGCCAGGCTGCTGCCGGGTCACCTTTCAGGCCAAGCTTTGGAACCCATGCAGCATGACTCTGCCACATTCCATTCGTCCGAGTTCAATCCTGAAGGCCCACCCATGTTCCAGGGAGGGGACTGTAGACCCCACCTCTTGAAGGGAGGACTGTCAAAAGCATTTTCAGATCCTGCATACAGTAAGTGCCAACTAAGTGCCTGTTGAAGCATTAAAATGTGTTGAACAAGCCTCAGAAGGAAATACTAGTCAGGGTGACCAGCTGGTTCCTGTGATCTCCCCTCTCTGGGAGGAACTTGAATAGACAGAGGTCGCTATGTCCTTACAGGACCTCGGCCCTCTGGCCAGGTGAACCCCTGAGACTGACAAGGTTAATCAGTTCTTCCACAGTTAGAAATGGAAATAAAGTGATTTTCCTCCTCCTAGTGGTGAAGGAGAGGATGTGAAGCTCCGGAGTCCCCAGGCATGTGAGGAGTCAGTCTCCAGGAGGGGTAAAGGCAGCATGCAGAGGAACTCCGTGATATTCCAGTTCCCGGTGAAGAGCAGACCACCTTCTTGGGGGAGGCGGGGGGGGGGGGGGGGCGAGATATGTGAGATGTGGCAATATCCCTCCAGCAAATCCCTCTCTTGGCCTAAATCTGTCCTAGTTGGATTTCTGTCATTTGACACTTGAAAGTTCTGACTCATGTGGGGTGGGGTAGGGTGGGGAGGAAGAAGGAGCCTCCTCCTGGAAATGCAGTCCACACTGCGATGGCAAAGTGAGAGAGAAATTCAGAGCGATTACCACCCAGGCATCCAGGACCTGCAAAGGGGACATACTGTCCAGCAGGTCGTGCTGAAGGTGTGCTTACAGCAAAGTGGACAGGCCACTGAGAGAGAAGATTGAAGGAAGGCTGAGAAAAGCTTCAACCTATTTAAATAGGAGGGGAAAATAGAAAAGAGAGACAAGAGGGTCTGTGGGTTGAAACTGGACAGTGTTGAAAGAAAGTGAAAAGAAACTGTTACCGCCCTGACCGGTTTGGCTCAGTGGATGGAGCATCGGCCTGCGGACTCAAGGGTCCCAGGTTCGATTCCGGTCAAGGGCATATACCTTGGTTGCGGGCACATACCCAGTAGGGAGTGTGCAGGAGGCAGCTGATAGATGTTTCTCTCTCATCGATGTTTCTGACTCTCTATCCCTTTCCCTTCCTCTCTATAAAAAATCAATAAAAAAAAACCAAAACAAAAAAACCCTGTTACTCCCAAAAGACATCTGCTACAAACAGAAGGGAACAGGGCCGTCCAAGGCTAATGTAACCCCCGGGCCTGAGTGGAGGTTGAGAACGAGCCAGGCAGAGTTCTGCCCAGCATAGGACAAAAGGCTGACTTCCCCTATGTGCCAGGCGCTGTATGATGTGCTTTACATGTGTGACCTTAGTTAAGGACCTCTATGTGTCCTACATGGTTCCTGCCAGCTGTCCCTGAAACTCTAGCACAGGAGAGGACCACAGAGCATGGGTCATATCACACGAGCCGCCCGCACAGGCCCCTTACAGGGTGTTCCTCAGGCAAACGCAGAATTCTCTGAAGTCTCCGAGGCTGCAAGCAGCCCAGACAACAGGAATGATGGGACCACCTTTCCGTGTTCGAGGTAACTGAATTTTTAATGATTGGTTTCTTAGTCACACCTTCATCGATTATCGATCCCATTATTAAAAAGTATACACAGTTAAATTAACCCAAATATTTCAAAGCACATTTCCAAAAGAGTGAAAATTTTGCACTGAAAGAAAAAAAAAAAAGAGACAAAGAGACTGGTGACCAAGATGTACTGTCCATGAACTTAAAGACTCTATTTATGCAGCAGATACACATGCAGGCAGGGCAGGCAGCAGCAATGAGGTACTGAAGACACTGCCTCTGTGATAAATGCCCTCAGGTAGGAGACATGACAATGAAGTAATGAGGCTGATTCCATGCAGAAGAATTGCACACCGATCTCATTATAGCCATACCTTGTGGGATGTTTATAAAATATTTCTTTCACAAGTTAAAACAGTATCTGTTACAGATGGATTTAATTTTGGTAAAATCAATGAAAAAAGTTGTATGTTAATGCAACATTTGTTGTAAAGATTCCAGAAACACATGAGTCAAAAATTCAAATTACGATTCTCACAGTAACTGTGACTGTGCTATACAACATACATAATGGAAGAAATGTTACCCACATACACCACTGTAAAAAACACGCAGTAAGCAGAAACAAGCTGAGTTATACTTGTTGTGGGAACCATCGTTTTCTAGCGAGGATATATAAAAACTGAAACCATAAATGTGTGCATTATTTTATGTACTTAATTCGAATTTTTCTTGATCCAATTTAATCAGCTTTGCATCCAAACTACATTTACCTTTCACAAACTGCAAATGGATGACTTTCATAATTTGCGAATCTGCATCATTTGGTTTCCTTTACTCACACAGGCTGCCTTTGCAGAACAGCATCAATATTCCCCGCCTCTCCCCCCAAAGGTCACCACGTGCCTGCCGGAATGCATTTCTCTACATCCCTTTCCTCCCTGAAGGACACCGTAGGGGAGGGTAAAAACACCAAAGAGACAAGAATCACATTGAGTAGCTTAGAAAGGTAAATAAGTACAACAGAAAAGAGGGCACCGGTACCGTTACCTTCCCCCTTAGCAACTTCCTAAGCAAAAATGAGACAAATAACACCACCATATAATTAGTTTCCAAAGTGATTAGTCATAACATTATCTCATCTGATCCTCACAACAGAGAGACAAAAAGAAAACACGTTTTGGTTGTTTAGCTCTTCGTGACTCCAATAGAATATATTTAAGGGTGTACTTTTATGTTAGCATTTAGAGTCTGGGCCATTTAATTGCACTTACAATATTACCCACTTACCATATGCAGAGAAGGTACCTATTATTGAAAGCAGAGTATACTTTATGCAAAAAGATCATGGTTACGAGCCAAATACTTAACATATTTTAACTTTAACTATATTCTGAAAATTCAATAATGAAACAGAAAGAGCTACACCTGCCCTTTGCAACTCCGCCTGGGCAAAATGAATCCTGTGCATTACATCCAACACTTCTTGTCCCAGTTTGGTTTTAACTAAGAAGGGCAGCTAGCACAACCTCTGAAGAGGAATCCCTTTACTTCCCAGCAGTCTTTGCCATCAGGGCTTGATTCATTACATTCAAACTGAATTACTCTGATTCAAGAACAGTCACATTTCCTCTAAGTAGCCCCACCCCACCAGGTCATGACCTGGGGTGTGCAAAGGGTGAAATGGTCACTTCTTTGTCTATTAGCACTACTATAATTGGCTATTAGAGTTTAGGTCTCCCCCCATCCCCACCCCCTCCTACGTACAGAAGGATCCACATAATCAGGTATAATTTTCCCTTCTTCATCTTTCTAGTACACCAAAGACCAATTAAAATGAAGATCCAGAGCTGGAAGGAAGCTTCAATATCACTTGTTCTAACCTGGGAGAGAACACAGTTAATCCTCTGCTTGTGAAAAGTATGACCACTTTGCATATCATTAGAGGGTAATAACTGAGTGCTAAAAGGAAAACAAAACCTAAGGATGGGGCTTATTGTGGAGAAAGAGTTGTCTTTTTAATGTTACCTACCATATACAACAGACCTTGCAATGAATAATGATTGACACATAAGTTCTTGGATAAAACATATAATCACATGATCTCACTCATTTGTAGAATATAATGAACAACATAAACTGATGAACAAAAACAGATCCAGAGACAGAGAAGCATTGATCAGACCGTCAAACCTCAGAGGGAAGGTAGGGGAGGGTGGGGGTAAGGAGGAGAGATCAACCAAAGGACTTACATGCAAGCATATAGGCCTAACCAATGGACACAGACACCAGGAGGGTGAGGGCATGAGTGGGGAGGATAGGGAGTAATGTGGGGATTAGGACACATTTGTAATAACTTAATCAATAAAAAAATTAAAAAACAAACATTTAATCCAAATAGGTATTCCATGGGACATAAATATGCAACTTTCAGGGTTTTCTCCCCTTATCTGTGAAGAAACAGTATCTGGGGCTGACAGCAAAGCATATTCTGAATACTATTTCCAGTTATTAGAAGGTATGAAGCTGGCAGGTAAATGATGGAGATAATGGACTCTTGGATCTTGTCAGAGACCAGAAAAGGGGCTATTTACTTACTGCCTTATGTGATAAGCCAGTCAGATGTAAAGGCAGGGCTATAAGGGTAAATCCTCCATACAGTCCATTCACTTTATGGGACTGTCGCAGGAAAACTATGGATCCGGCCAGTGGGCAAGGTTTACCTTAAACAGAATGAAACAACCGCTCTTTCAATAGGGAAACTGAAGCTAAAGTGGTCAATTCTAGATGATCACAGAATGAATGAATGCTTAGAAGTATAACATGGTTGTTTCTCTTGAGCAGTCAATATGACCTTTGGCAGAAATTCCCAAAGGTCTTAAGTTTTCCAGATAAACTGACAGCAAATAAGGTCCTGAAGACTGTCAGTACCATAGATTAAGAAACTAATTTTTCATATTTAATTAAAATTAAAGCTACAGAATTCCATTAGTGACTGACAGTAAAATATTCACACATTAAAGAATGAACCAAAGGACAATTTTGGGAACAAGGTAAGAGGTCCAACAATAGAACACTGTTAAATAAATTACAGTACATTCATAAAATGGGTGCTCTGCAGCCATTCCCAATGTGTTCTTGCAGAATTTCCAAGGAGAGGCAAATGGTTGATAACATATTGTGAAATGAAAAGTGAGATTACAAAATGGTTCTATACAATCTCTATTTTAGACCCGCAAAAATAAGTACATAGAAAAAAGACTGGGAGAACATACCCAAAACTACGATCAGAAATTAGCTCTGCTGGTGAGAATTTAATGTCCTCTTTTTTCTTTTCCAAATGAAAAGGAGCTAACGGGAAATTCTTTCTTTTTCAAAATGAGTCAATAAGTATATTCTGACCTCTTTGTCCCATTTTTTTAATAACACACCAAAGAAAAACATGAAAATATATTTAGCGGCATTTAACACTTGCATTTACAATTATTTTTCTTTAAGTTAAAAAACAATAGTGCACCAAATTTAGTTTCCTTATATTTTTTTGCCAATTCACACAAGCGCAATGAATTTTTAAAAAGATATGGCATAAACTTTTATCCAAGATTGTAGTCTTCCATGCAGTCCTCTTTATGCATCATCGCGCCTAGAAAATGAACTTCATGTGCTTGATTCCGTAAGTTTTGAAGAAAACCATGATGATGAGTGCCCACAATCCCAGAATAAACCCCCCAGGAGGATGCCAATCTTTCAGCTTTGGTTTCTGCAAAATAAGGATGACATAACATGGTAAATTTAACAAGAGGCAAAGAGTTCAACAATGGGTAAAGCAAATACTAACAGAAAACAGACATTTCACAAGCTGGGTTTTAAGGGGGAGTAATTTAGCCAAATTAAATGTCTTAAGATAGAAACAATGGTGAAGACTTCAAACCAGATAAATATCTCAAGGTGGCTCTTATCAACATCAGTTTCAAATGATATTTTGTTCCCCCAAAGGGGCCTTCCCTGACCACCCTACCCAACCATCTCCATTCAGACAGGTTATTCAGTAGCCTAACAGTCCTCCTTTTGAATATACATGTTCATTGGTTTGTTGGTTTTATCTGTCTCTCCTATTAGACAATAACTCTATGAGGGTCATCTTGTCATATTCCCAGCACCGACCTGCACAGTGCCTGGCACATGGGAGATACTCATACAGTACACTAAGTCAGTAGAAAACAAAAGCTACCCAATCCATTTATCCTGACACTCAACTTGTTTGGAGGCCAGTGCCTTTGGCCATGTTACTCCCTTGAGTTAGAATGCTCCTTACTCCACTGTGCCTATTCAAAACGCACTAACTCAAATGCCAGCTCCTCCAGATTTTCCCAGCTGATATATGATTTTCTTTTCATCTGTAGCTCCTTCTACTTTTACTTCTATCTATTATCAGTTATCTTTATTGCTTATCTCCCTGTAAACTTCCAGGGCTCAAATTCTGTCTGAGTCCATTTTACATTCTCTTCTCCATCCCCTCCACCTCAACACTAAGCCAAGTCTTGTATGTTTCCTTGCCCAACAAGGACAGGCAAACCAGTCTTCCTCATTTAATTGTCTTTCAACAGCTGCACTATGGCCCTGAAATTGGAGGTCTGTGAGTGACTGTGATCTCTTTATGAGTTCTACTTCATGAATTACTAGCTAAGATTGTAAGGTTGTTATGATGAGAATCATAATTTAGAATAGAGTGGAGAGAAACTGTAATCTGAACTTTGCTTCAGTCATCATGTAAACTCCATCCAACAAACGTTCACAAATCTCTTAGAAGAATCCACATCTTATGGTTTGGTTTTCCCTTATATAACCAGGACACTTAACCTCTTCACTTTTAGTAGTGCACGTTAAGAAATGTGGTGGTGTTGTCTGTGTTTTTTTATATACTTCCTCTCTTTAAAGTGTCCCCAAACCAGGCATATGGAGCATGGTAGCAGATGATCCTAGTTTAGCCTAGCAAAACCACATTGATGCCTGCATGCCAACCACTGGGAAATGTGTAACCAACTATTCTTCAGAGGCAGATCTGAGAAGATTGTTCATACCTAAGTAATCAGTGAGAGGCATCAACCTGTTCTGTTGGCAAACACCAACAGTGCTCTAAGGTGGGGGGTGGGGGGTGGGGTGAGGTTGAGGAGTAAAAATACACCCACATAGAGAAAGAAATATTCTAAAGATGCAGAGAACATATCTCTGAATAAGATTTAATAAGGAAGCAAAAGATAATTGAGAAAAATTTTAGTTGAGATGGACTTGAATAAAGACGCACAACGAAAGGAAAAGATGCACAAGGAACCAAAATATATTTTTCTTAATGTTACAGAGAGAAAAATAAAACAAGATACAAGGACAACAGGCTAGATACAAAGAGAGCTGGGTAACATAATTTTGTAACAGCAAATTAAAATCTACATTGAGGAAAAAGGTAGTGTCCTAAGGACATCATTGAGTCCTTCTTTCACTTAATTGTGAAAGACTGTGGCAAAAAAAACCAAAACCCCAATTCTCCATACTTCCCTGCGTCTACAGCCTTTGCAATACGTTGCTTTATAGCAGCTCTCATCAAGAGGTGGAATCTATCACCCAACTGGCTTGGCTCTGTGGTTGAGCATCGTCAACCTCTGAACCAAGAAATCACTGTTCAATTTCCCTGTTAGGGCACATGCCTGGGTTGTGAGCTCGATCCCCAGTTGGGGAGCATGCAGAATCATCGATGAGATCGATGATTCTCATCATTGATGTTTCTATCTCTCTATCCCTCTTCCTTCATCTCTGAAATCAATAAAAATATATATTTTTTGGAATATATCCACTGAGATGACAATGTGGAAGGAAAAACCCTAAAATTTTATTTTCATAAGAAAATTAAGTTGCTTACTTGTAACCTCGGGTTTCTGAAACAATGGTATAAATACTAGTAAGAAGAGTGTGAAGGGCAGCTAATCCAGCCCTTGTCCACCATGAACTTTGTTCAGGTCGGAGGAGGTCTGTCAAGATAATCCCCTCTGACCCTTCTAGAATAAGAAATACTCATTTGAGCTAAATTTCACAAAGTAAGAACTTCTTCAACCACCTGTCGCATCCTAACAGTGTTTACAGCCAGCCTTTGATAGAGCTGTCCAGGAAAAATACTGCTGCACTGTCTCCTGGAGGTAAATTTCACACATGTCTTTCCCATCCAACCCCCTCACTTTAAAGGAACTGCAGGGATGCTCACTTCTGGCTCTTGCCTATAGTCTTCCTGGAAACAGACCAACTCCACTTGTCACCATGCCAGGAATCGCTCTCAAGGAAATGAAGTGGGGGGATCTAGAGACTAACTCCCCTAGCTTCCCTCTATCCTTCCTCCTCCCAACTACAATCTAGGTCGGAGGCCTCGTTCCTTTCCATTTGAAGTTAGCCATTTATGTCATTCAGATGTTGCCCCCTTCTGGAGAAATGAACATCTCCCAGGATCTTGATGCACCTTACCCGTGGTAAACTTGCAAAGCAATTCATCTAATCTAGGATAATTAACAATGATTTGTTTTTAACTGTGATTTTATTTTATTTATTTATTTTTATTGTGATTTTATTTTTCATAGGAAGTTGACCATGATTTTTCCTTAACCATGACCTTTTTTCTGTGATAAGAACACCCACTATTATTAACATTTTTAACATGGCTCTGGAATTTATGGCCAATTCAGATATAACATTTAGGAAGGAGAAGTAAATTCTCATTATTTGCGGATAGTTTGATTAGTTACCAAACAACTCAAAATAAACTTATAATTATTGATATTAAAGAGCTCAGACTTAAGATAAACATATTTTAAAAACCCTCCCAATATGCCAGTAAAAACAAGTCAAAAAATAGAAAAAAATTACAGTTGCAATAGCAATAAGAAATATTAAGTAGCATGAGATATAAGGCAAACAATCTGTATTACTCTATAGAGAGGGGTAAATAGTCCTGAATATAAAAAGGAATATGATAAAGCCAATCTATAATGTTGTTCTGATGCAAAATACATCAATGAAACAGAATAGAAAGTAGGCGACCAGCCCAGTATCCAAGACTTTAGTATACAATAAAAACTATTACAAGCCAATAGGCAAGGTGTTCTAACAAAGGATTAACATTTGGAAAAAAAAAATCAGTTTTGTTTCTAACCCAACACTATAAACCAAAATAAACTTTACATGACTTAGAATTAGATGAAAAAATATTATATGGGGGGAAATTTTTTTAAATTACTTTTGTAAAGTGGCACCTACGGACACATCATAATGGGGCTGCGTTAATCGCAAAGGTGGAGAGCAGTTACAAAGGAGCTCATGTGGAGAGAAGAACAGGGGTCCAAGGGCCAGCAAGCTGGGGGGACTGTCAGGTGGGTGGCTACTCAGGAAGGAATACTTGGGAAAGCTGGCTCTTGAACGAGGTATCGAGGTATCGTAATTGGGTTGGTGAAGATGAGGGGATCACACCCAGGCAGTGGCACATGGAGCAAAGTCATGGTGATGAGAAAAGCCAGGCATTGGGAAAAGGGTGATGCCCCAGCCTGGGCTGGTGCAGGAAGGTGATAAAAGCTCCACGAGGGTAGAAACTGGCATCCTCTTTGTTCACTGCAGAAGCCAAAACCCTGGCACTTAGGAAACCCAGTTGAAAGAAGTAGCAAGTTTGAGCCATGGAGAGTCATTCTGTGAATGCCCAGCTGTGTGTTGGGATTTGAGACAATGAGAAGCCTTGAACCAGTGACTAACCACAGGTAAATGGGGTGAAGATATAAAATGTGGGAGAATATGCACAGTAAAGGAAGATATAAGTTTAAAAACAATGAATAAAAACAAGGATGAAAAGGTAAAAATATTTTTATAAAAAACTTTTGAAAAGATCTACATTTTTCAAAATGTATAAGTCAAATGAAAAGGTAAATAAATAGGATAATATGACAGAAAGGGGGTTGAATTCAGTACATGAATATTTCCCAAAAATTAATAAGAAAATATACAAAGATTTATCAATAAATGGGAAAAGAAAATTGTTGAAAAAGGAATAATTATGAGTGGCTAATGAATATTAGAAAAAAACCAGTTTTCCTGGTCACAAAAACAAATTAAAAATGATATATTATTTCTTTCTCTTTTTAAAATTAAACTAGTAAATGTTATTAAAGATGGTCTACTTTTCAGGAAAGTAATCTATTAACATGTTCAGAGGTCTTTAAAATGTTCTTACTTATTCACTTCTGGGATCTATTATACTCCTAGCTAGGATCTATATTAAGAAACTCAGAAATGGTGACAAAAATTTAACGAAAAGATTTTCTTCTCAGTGTTATTTATATAATAAAAAAACAGGAAATAGCCGAAACCGGTTTGGCTCAGTGGATAGAGCGTCGGCCTGCGGACTGAAAGGCCCCAGGTTCGATTCCGGTCAAGGGCATGTACCTGGGTTGCCGGCATATCCCCAGTAGGGGATGTGCAGGAGGCAGCTGATCGATGTTTCTCTCTCATCGATGTTTCTAACTCTCTATCTCTCTCCCTTCCTCTCTGTAAAAAATCAATAAAATATATTAAAAAAAAAAAAAAAAAAAAAAAAACAGGAAATAATCTATATCAGAGGTTCTCAACCTGTGTGTTGCGACCCCTTTGGGGGTTGAATGACCCTTTCACAGGGGTCGCCTAAGACCATCGGAAAACACATATATAATTACATATTGTTTTTGTGATTAATCACTA